TTATTTCTGCAAATAGGCAACACGGTAGCACTTTTACACGTCAATATTATCAAGCGAACGATGAGGTCGACATTTCCTAACTGACTACTCTGAGAAGAAATGCCGAAACAAACGCAGAGGTCTGTCTCTTTTAAAGTCCAGACAAATGTATATAAAAGATTATGTGTGAGAACCGTGTAAGTTCTTTCTGTAGTGGCCTTTTGAGGAAAGAACCACAACAGTTTGAGCGGACCCGTTCTGAAGGCAGTACGCACAACAATATGCATACTGAAACATAATCCCAACACAAATCAATTTAAGAATTTTCCCCAAAGAACAAAAACATTTCGAATCCAATAAAACTTTTTGGAAACAAAATCTAGGTCAGACATTCCATTATTTAAGTTACTTAAAAAACTTGGATACGTCTAGGACCACAAGACATCTAACTTTATAAAGGGCGAGTTTGTATTTTACGTCAATGCGATCGAAATATTACCGCGTTGAGCCCTCTGATTGGTTAATTAACTTAAAGTAGCCAATCAGGGCGCTCACTCTTGAAACCGATCTTAATGTCAATGCAATTTCAATCCAATAAAATCTCAATAATTGTTCAATGTCAACACTATACAATCCCTATCGAAGCTGTTAAAATAGCATTCAGAGTACGGAATTTACCTAAAGCCTAACTCAATACTATTTCGTTCATTTAATATCCACGCGATATGGATACAATGGACACTGCAGCCTTAACTACCCATGACGAACCAAAACAAGCAAGTAACATGCTACAACTCTTTTCCAGCCTCACCTGGAAAAAGCATATTTTTACTAAAAGAAAAGCACTGGGAATCCAACTGAGGAAAATGTATTGGATGCTCAGCGGAAAATCGCAGCTATCACTCGAAAACAAACTACTGTTATACAGGAGTATCCTAAAACCGATCTGGACCTACGGAATCCAACGCTGGGGCACTGCCTCAAATTCTAATATAGAAATACTCCAGAGGTTCCAGTCCAAAATGCTGAGGATAATTACTAATGCTCCTTGGTTTATAACTAACCAACAATTACACCATGACCTTAAAATCAGAACGGTTCAAGAAGAGATAAAACAGTCTATGATATCCTACAGAAAAAGGCTCAACAACCACCCAAACACTCTAGCAATGCACTTAATGAATATGAACTCCACATTCAAAAGGCTAAAACGAAAAGCCCCTAGAGACCTGTAGGGGATGAATTCTAAAGGGCCCACGTCGCTGGACTGGTGACCCTACAAGACAAACTAAATTAAACTCTTGACCATGTGCTGAATGTTCGTTAGAGACAGATTGCAGGACAATAAAATAAAAAAATAAAAAAAATATCCACGCAATATGGATGCAATGGGCGCTGGTGTTGCAACTCAAGAGTGCGAAATTTCATAATATGAATGTCGATCGATCGGAATAGGATTCAAGAGTAAGCCTACTGATATCTAAAGGTGGTGACTTTTAACATAACATAAAAAACTGGAATTAGGAGCTCAGATTTTCTAAACAATAATGTTTATTCAACGTTTACTGTTTAATGTTTAATAGCCAATGGAATATTTAACAGATATTATCATTTCCACTGTGTTAAAAATTTGAGATTAGCTTCTTTTGCTCAGAAAAATATAGGACAGTGTCTAAAATTGATGAACTTTAATTTGATTTCCAGTATTTGAATCTTAAAATAAGGCAAGCAAAAAATGTTCTTATGTTTTTTTAATTAATATTGTATGCAGGTACCTATACCTATTTTGGCTTCTTGAGGTGATCCTCAAGAAGACAAAATATACTTTAATTTGTCTAGAAACAGGCCCTTATTTACACGTTCAATAGTCGCCCTCGTGAATACTAGGCCAGCAAATTAGCTAAGATTTATAAGGAAGAAAAAGGCCATGTGATATTATTAATATCCCTAAAAAGTTGTACACAACTTAACTCATAAATTGTACACATCTGTTGTGCCTACTTTGCCATTAGAAAAATATAAACATTCACTTATTTCCTTGTTTAAGTGGCTTGTTTATTATTCACTAGCTTCTACCCGCGGCTTCGCCCGCATTCCCGTGGGTTAAAAAGTAGCCTATGTCTTATTTCTGATCATAATCTACCCCTAAATTACCTTTTTTTATAGCATAAACTGGTAAACGAGCAGACGGATCACCTGATGGTAAGCAATCGGCACCACCCATGGACACTCGAAACACCAAGGCGTTACAAGTGCGTTACCGGCCTTTTGGGAATTGGGTATTTGAGGATTGCGGAGGATTTGGGGATTCGGGAGACGGGGACTAGGGACTCACACGACGAAACACAACGCAAGCATTGTTTCACGTCGGTTTTCTGTGAGGCCGTGATATCACTCCGGTCGAGCCGGCCCATTCGTGCCGAAGCATGGCTCTCTCACACTTAAAGTTCTACTAGTTTCGAACCACAGAAGGGTTCTTCCTCATGAGCAGCGCGCGCGGTCGCGGCAATATCGCGCAGCCTACTAGCTAGGCTTTTCTCAGTATATTCACGTGAGCAACCCGCGATTTTTAGTTAATTTAGTATGTCTCACGATAGTTATTATAAATGCATAATCTACCCCTGTTCCAAATCTCATACCGATCCCTTCAGCCGCTTTTGCGTGAAAGAGTAAGCAACAAACACACAGACATCCTCAGAAAATTTCCCATTTTTATTAGTAGGGTTACAGGCAGTTGCCCTCACCCCCTTACATGGGACTCATAACATAAATAGTGAAAAGTGGGTGTTACATTGTACAGTGGTATAATGTGCACCTCTGCCTACCTCTTCGGGGATAAAAGGCGTGATGTTATGTATGGTTACAGGCAGTTGCGTGCGTAACTACGAAGATAAGATCTGGGTTGAGTTTTCCCAATATAACCACTAATTTTGTTACTAATTTAAAATTCTTATTAATAATAACACGAAATAGAAAATGAAGTTCTTTGTATAGTGTAGAATGGTTGTCTCGATTATGCCAAAATAGCTATCCTGACCAGGTAAAATAAGCCTTAGGCAACGCTACTGCTGCCACGTGTACCCTTTTTTTTTAGGGGCGAAAATCATCGAATGACTGCTCCCGCCTGGGTGAGGCGGGTGGGAGTGTCAGACTCTTACTGACTAAAAACCACCCCGTTCCTTCTCCTGCACGTCGAGCCGGAGCCCCGGTTACCCGTTAGGTTCTCCGCGACAACCACGTGTACACTAGGTCATAACTCCAGGTCGTCATGTCAGTTAAATCAGTAAATACCCTAGACACTAAAAGTATTCTAACTTATCCAGCTGGTGTACTGAACAACTTAGATATCACGCCTTACATTTTCATGTTAATACATACATGGGTAGGCAGAGACTAGGGAACGCCAATTACTTCGATTCCTACATACCTTTTTCGCTTCATCAACAGTCATCAATCTTTTCATGCATGCTCGTCTGTTAAGAGTACTTTTAATTTGGCCCTTCTTTAAACTGTCAAACACCGAGCGGTCACCGGTAACTGCAACCTATTGTTCTTTAATTATTTCTATAATGACGGTAGTCAACGAGTTAATATATTGCCAATCTGATCACTATATGTCCGCCTAGGGCGCCCTCTACCGACCCCATTAATATCCGCTCTGTATACTTCTTTCGTTACTCTACTTTCATCCATCGTTTCTACATGTCCAACCCAGCGTAACATTCCCTTATCAATCCTTATTTTCAAGTTAATCTATCAAAGAATTAATATCCAGGATCAATTGATGACAGTACAAAGTTCACACACAAACACAAGTTATAAGTAACTCTGTGTACAGATAATAGAACTTAGTTTACCTTGGTATTGTCAATCAATCACTGTCTACCACCTCTATACGTCCATTAGAAGATACATTCGTATGGAGTAGTAGCTGAGTGACACGTGAGACTGACTTGAAGGGTGAACCAAGGACTTTGGTGGTAAATGAAATAATGAAATATTATTCCATAGATAGACTGCCTCGTTGGCCTCGTTGGCACAAGTGCGACTGCCGGGCAAGAGGTCTCGGGTTACAGGTTAAAGTATTACTGGGTTAGCTAAAAACGCGGTTTACTCAAGTGAACATACTAAGCCGCGACCGCGCACGCTGCCCATGAGGAAGAGCCCCTCTGTGGTTCGAAACTAGTAGAGCTTTTCTCAGTATATTCACGTGAGTAACCCGCGTTATTAGTTAATTTAGTATGTCTCACGATAGTTATTATAGAAACGTATTACTGGGTTTTTCAAAAATTTCTTAGAAGTGGCACGGAATCTGGAACTGTGTCCGGTATATGACAATAGGCTCACCCCCTATTATATGGGAATCGTAACTTCAATAGTGAAAAGTGAGTGTTATATTGGTCGCTGGCATTAAGTGCCGTAATGTGCCACCTCTGCCTATCCCTTCGGGGATAAAAGGCGTGATAATATGTTTTGTTTCTTAATGTCTTAGCGATGATTAACGCTGTACCAATCTTGTTAGGTATATCAATAGGGACTAATAAATCTCTCGTTGTTTTAGAAAGCATTCCACTATAGAGTTTAACAGAACTCTTTGTACAGTGGCATTAAGTGCTGTAATGCGCACCTCTGCCTTCTGATATGTGATGCCGATTTCTGATTTCTGATTTTGATAGATGTGTTTAATTTGACTTGATAACCTGACAACAACCTTGATAACCTGTCGTGGAGGCCCGGAGGTTTAAGACGCCCGAAACCTACCAACGGCAAGTACCAATGTGACTTTTTCCGAGTTATATGTACTTTCTAAGATTATTCAGACACCACTGACAAACGGTGAAGGAAAACATCGTGAGGAAACCTGGGCTTATAATTTCTAATTATAAGTTTGTAATCGCCAACCCGCATTGAGCAAGCGTGGTGATTAATGCTCAAACCTTCTCCGTGTGAGAAGAGGCTTTGCTCAGCAGTGGGCATTTATAGGCTGTTGATGATAAACCTGTCATAAGATTTTGACTTACCTAATAAAGCCATAAAGAACCCGTAGAGAACACACATGGTCTTCCCGAAGATCCATCGATGGAACAGTGCTGATATAAGTGTGAAGGGATTCCCTAGCACGGACACTGAGAAATCCGAGAACACCAGGTTGAATAGTATTATGTTGAGCGGTGTCCATAACTGAAACAAAGAGAAATAAATATATACAAGGTGTAGTTTTGAAACCGTGTCATTTCTCGGGGGCATGTCACAGAAGTCATAAAGGTTCAATGTAAGAGACAATGTCGGGACAATAGTTAAAAATACGGCTATAATAAATTGTTTAAGTTCGACAGTATTTCAGAATAAGCGACAGCAATGTTTCTTATTGGAGTTTTATTGAATTAGGAATAATATCAATTACGTGTTTGAGTTTATGTGTGTTAAGCCGCGCCATAAAGCTAGTTACAAGACGACGGCGTGTACTTCGCAATCACGTTTTCCGTAATTTTAGAAAAATGAAAAATATTTATCTACAATTTTTTTTTATTGATTCGGACTCAGAATCGATATCCAAGTTACCTCCTAGAAAATGACGTGGCTTTAAAACAACACCTTGTATAATGTCACAAAGTGCTGGACAAATGTACAGAGACTAGCAAGCCTATAGATTCTGTCTATATGTCGTTTTTCTTCTTCTTCTCATTGTATTTTTGGCTTTACCTCAAGGTTATAAAGTTGGAAATTGAATGAAGAAATTTGACAAAAATTTTGTAGGATGACCTGCCTAGCATCTGAACTTATACTAAGTTTGGTTCTTTTATTTTTCTTTATGACATAAGCCGGTAAACGAGCGGTATCTCCTTATTTTTTTGAATTCGGTAAAAAATCTAAGAGCTGCTACTTGCTTGTCCGTACTAATATAATAAGTACCAAAGTGTGTTGGTTTATTGGTTTTTCTGACATATTTTAACCAGCAAACAAATAAATACATAGGTACTACAAATACTGCCTCGATGGCCGAGTGGTCGTTAGTGCGACTACGGAGTAAAGGGTCTCGGGTTCGATTCCCGGGTCGGGCAAAGAATTGCTGGATTTTTAATAAATCAGCACGGAGTCTGGAATTGTGCCCGGTGTAGGCTCACCCCCTATTACAATGGGACTCATAACATAAATAGTGAAAAGTGGGTGTTACATGGTATTAAGTATAGTGGCACTAAGTGCTGTAATGTGCACCTCTGCCTACCCCTTCGGGGATAAAAGGCGAACTCTAGAAGCAGCGAAGTTAGATAAGTGTTTATTTAGTCTATAAATAACAGCTATTTGGTAACTGGCTTACCAAAGCATATTCTATTAGGAACTCAAATATAGGGAAGTTTGTATTAATTACCAATTTGTAGAAGATATGCTGATCTAGGTACAGAACTGTTCAAAGCTACGTTGAACTATAAAGCTAACAATATCCGTACGTGACTTGAATTCGATTCAGTTTCTATTATAAATACAGAGTATCTATACCGATGCTATCGAAGGGCACCGCTTTGGTTTCATAGTACCGTCATTACCATAGATATAATAAAGAAGAAATATATAAATAATAATAATAATATACAAAAATAAAGTAATAACTTGTTGTTCTTCGTGATTTTTACTATAAATATTGTGAATATTTGTTGGTAGTTTCCAGGGTAAGAAAATTAAAAATCTAATTAGTCAGTTAGATAGTGAAAAAATATTAGACACGTTTTTTTTTATTTTCTCGTATAAAGTTACAATACTTAAATAAAATGGCGTTAAGTTTAGGAGTGGGAGGTAGTTACGTCATAAAGTGGTACATTTTGTAGCACGCTGTGACGTCACGCGATATTCTCATCAATATATCGTCAAAAACATTTAATTTTCTGAGAAAAGAAAAAATACGTGTCTAATGTTTTGAAATTCTACCAGACCGACATTAAAGTAAAATTTAGGAAACTACCCATACCTATATTATCAAAAATGTTGAGATTACGCTAAGTAACCCTATATCATTAACAGGTCGCAATTTTAAGATATATCCAGGTCGTTGTCAGGCTTAAAAGGAACATTTTAAGTTCTTACATAAACTGCTTTTCCACAATATGCGGTATGCAATCGGAGCTATAGAGGTAGATTATTTTAAAACATTAGACACGTATTTTTTCTTTTCTTACAAAATTATATACTTTCGACGATATATTGATTTCAAATATCGTGTGACGTCACGATTTACTATATTTTATAGGGTAGCGTGACGTAACGACCTCCCGTTCCTAAATTTAACTCCGTTTTATCCAAGTATTGTTTTCTTTTACGACACAATAAAAAAATTGTGTGTAATATGTTTTCATTATCTAACTGACGAATCAATTAAATTTTTAATTTTCACACACTGTCTACTAGCCTATATATCTGATGTCCCCAACCATTCTGCAAAGCTTGGCTATTGTGGGAAATGTCTTCTTAAAAGAGAAACCTTTATTAGGCTAATAGCGCGGTAATATTATCATTATTACCGTGCTAATGATGATGTACCCTGAAGAGAGAGGTTATTTTTCTCTATTAGGTAGTTTTCATCATCGACTGGCTTCCATTGGACCTGCATCCAACGGCTTCCTGCGACTTTCACCAATTACTTTGTCACAACTAGACACTAGATGAAATATATCGATCCAAAATGTTGTCAAGTTATAACCTTGGTTTACTTCAAATTATAATATCAATATTTCGACGAGACAATTACTACAACAATTACAATTACAAGTACAACAAGACAACAATACATTAGGTATTATATAAGTAGTAAAAGTAAAGCTAGCTTTTACCCGTGGCTTTTACATAATTATAAACCGTCCTCTTGAATTCCTCTATATTAAAAAAAAAAAATCATCGATATCTTTTGTAGCAGTTCAAAGTTTTAATTTTTTTATGGAATTAGCCGGTAAACGAGCAGACGGATCACCTAATGGTAAGCAATCGGCGTCGCCCATGGACATCTGAAACACTAAGGCGTGACAAGTGCGTTACCGGCCGTTTTGGAATTGGGAATATTAGGATTGTGGAGGATTCGGGGATTGGGGAGATTGGCGAGGGGGGGGGGGGGTAATTGAACCTCCGATAACCTCACTTGCACGACGAAACACAACGCAAGCGTTGCTTCACGTCGGTTTTCTATGAGGCCGTGGTATCGCTCCGGTCGAGCCGGCCTATTCGTGCCGAAGCATGGCTCTCCCACACTTAATACTAAGCATAGGTACTGTAAGTATGTACACATGGACAGGGAAAAGCCACTTTGTTTTATATTATGTAGTCAAGGGTGTTGAAAAAAAGGCGGACATTATGTCAATTAGAAATGATTGAAACATAAAAATGTCAGCAGGTTAAATATGTGTGCGTGTGTATCCATACATCGTTATCAGATTAAAAAAAATACAGATGTCCCTCGGTACAATGTGTGTATGTTGTCCGTGTAAGTCTATAGTACCCAGGTACAACAACCTTGGGTGTAGTGATAGTGATTACGTTCAGACTTTTTCGTTATTTAGTTTTCTCAACATTTCATTTACTTCTTTGTTAATTATTTATAATTCTATTTAAAAAGAAAAATAAACTGTATAATAGGGGAATGCTTTTAAAGTTGCATCGTAAAAGTGAAAAGAAATATTTTAGACAGTCTAATGATTTTCATACAACTATTCGAATACATGTTTATTTCGGATCGGAGCCGCGGAGAACTTAACGGGTTACCGGGGCTCCGGTTCGAAGTGCAGGAGTAGGAACGGGGTGGTTTTCAGTCAGTAAGAGTCTGACACTCCCTCCCGCCTCACCCAAGCGGGAGAAGTCATTTGATGATTATCCGCCCTTAAAAAAAAAAATTATATTTCGGAATCAAAATGCTCGGTAATTGAACTTAAACAAACACAACAAATACTTATTTAAGAGATTTTTTATTCGACCTCAAGTTGAAAACTTCTAAAGAAGATACTTTGCTGGATAAACAAAAGGTTTTGTCAGACAATTAGAAATAATAGACCGAGGACTGCCTCGTTGGTCGAGCGGTCGCAAGTGTCTCGGGTTCGATTCAGGCCCGGGTCGGGCATAATAACCCGGTTTTAAAAAAAATGTCAGTAGTCTGGAATTGTGCTCGGTATATGGCAATAGGCTCACCCCCTATTACATGGGACTCATAACATAAATAATGAAAAGTGGGTGTTACGTCTATGTGCAACTCTGCCTACCCCTTCGAGGATAAAAAAACTAATAACACACAAGTAGTACAAAAAGAGAGAAAAAAAAGACACATTTCTCAAATCGAATTAGAATTACAATTATTACTAAAATACTGATCTCATAACGACAAAATGTATGTGACACAACTACATTAATACATTGATACACTGTTCAATAAGTATACCCAATACAATACAATACAAAACCATATAATACAATACAATACAATATAATACATGTCACAAAATCAAATCTACTATCAATGTCAATAAAAAAGATTAATATTAATACAAAGTAGGTAATTACAATGTCAACAGAGAATTATCATTATAAAAAGGCGTGACGTTATGTTATTTTATTATGTGCTAGACAAAATACCAATTTTTCGTTAGTCATAACATCGTGGCAGACGTCTACCTATTTCTAACTAGAAAAACAATTACTAAGTCTATATTGATAACACAAGCACGATATACATAGTTTAGTCCTACGTAACTCATTCGTATATTGTATTAGTAGTGTCTTTGTTCTACAAAATTAATTGAATGATTATTTTAACAATAGGTATGAACTGAGTTCCAAGACTTCCATGTTATACAAATACTTTGGGAATTCTTCCAGGGACGATGTATGTCTACTCGTACCATTATTATGTAAAATATTATTATAATGTACCATTCATGACATATACCTAACTGTTATTGCGTTTTACTTTATCAGTTAGTTAGTTAAGACTTATGAATGAATTTCCACACTTCAGTTTATCTATACTTAATATTATAAAGCTGAAGAGTTTGTTTTTTTGTTTGTTTGTTTGAACGCGCTAATCTTCGGAACTACAAGTCTGATTTGAATAATTATTTTTGTGTTGGATAGCGCATTTATCAAGGAAGGCTCTAAAAGGCTGTAAAACGTCACGCTACGACCAATAGGACCTGAGCAGACCGTGTGAA